TGGTTTTGACACTCGGTGGCTTTTTCATCCTGACTTTCACACATCTGTGTCATTTTGGTGGCATCAAGGCAGCTGAAGATCCTGTGGTAGAAAAGATTTTTACATGGTTGATGATTTTATTCCTATGGCTGATGTCCTTAAGATAATAGCTAAGGTTCAGAAGAATGGACTTCACAAACTGCTCTGCAGTGTTAGTACTGTGGATATATGGCACTTTACCAATCCCATAGAACACCTAACCATCTCAGCCTGAAAGACAATACAGGTTTCTGTCACCCACAGAATGCTGCTTTCCTAGAGATGACATTCACCAGCTTGCAGGGATCTTGCTTCCTCACGAGAGTATGAATGTTGATAAGATGTGTATGTCATTTTAAGAAACACCTCTTCATGTACCCAGCAGAAGATTCTCAGCTGGTGGAGAGGGATAAAGTGTGAACTCAGCAGGCTAAACAAAAGACAGTCCTTACTGAATAATTTCTGAATAAAAGTATGGCCAGTGTCATTTCTATTCCTGCCTTCTGCAGTGTCCTGCACAATGTCTTTAAGGAAGAGGACCTCCAAGGCTTTCCAACAGTTTTCAAAGCATAAAAGTCCTGAGACAGGTGGCTAGCTAGTGCGCTTGTCATCAGTGGGGCACAGTAAGAAGCAAAATAACTAAATGAAAGCATTCTCTTCAGTGTTGTGTAATATACGAGAGAAAATTTCATACTATGGAAACAAAATGGGACAAGACACTCTTCTCCAACACCCATGGATAGGTTTTCCATAGGTTTTTGACTATCAGGAAATTGAATATGTTAGAGTCCTCCCAATTTCTTCTTCTCTCCTGCACATTCACATGGGATACCTGTGAAGATTGTGTAACTGATATATTAAATAATTTTTACAATATTAAAATAAAAATATTGCAGATAATTTGTTATATAAGCACTTTTAGAATCATCACATGCATTCCAGCTGCTTATAATGATGATTTTTAAAGATGCAGATTTGCCCTGCCAGTAAGTGCTGGCAGTGGTCACACTGGTGGTTGAGAATGATTTCTGAAGGATACTGTTTCCCTTTGACCACACCCCAATGCACTCTGTGGGAACAGAGTGAACGGTGAGCAGTACCTACTTCCAGATCCAGAAAACAGAAAATCTTGTACTCTCTGGTGTCAGCTCTAGCTGTGTGAGAAGACGGTGTGCAGGAGAGGGCACCAGTGAAATGTCTGGGCTGATTATGGTCCAGGAGTGGGAACTCTTGCCTTGGAAACCACGGGAAATCTCACTGCCGCTTTTTTGTCTTCTGTCTTGCTGTGGCCTCTTCGAGTCCTTGTCAGAGAGGTCACTTTACCCTCTTCCTTTCCCTTAGATTATTTCTTTTTTTTTTTCTTTTGTTTGGGATTTATTGGTGGTGGTGGTTGGTTGGTTGTTGGTTTTTGGGGGTTTTTTGGTTGTTTTGTTTTTTTGGGGTTTTTTTTGTTTTTTTTTTTTTTTTGTTTGTTTGTTTGTTTGTTTGTTTTTTTGTTAGGCATTGCTCCCTCACTTCACTGGCTTCATCTAACTGATGTCCAGAGTCGCTGTGTACTTCATGCCCATATGAGCTCTTTCATTACCCTCTGTTGATTCTGCTTTGCTTATTGACTCACTCTGAGTGGAGGAAGGTTTCTTCAGGAAAAATTATGAGCATATCTCTTGTCCTCAATTCAAAGATAACTATGTCCTTTGTATTCTGTGACCTGGTAAGACCACAGAGCTCCTCCTTTATCCCTGCATTTTGGCCCGTATGTCATCTACTAGCAACCAGGTTCCCAGTTCATGAGTGCATTATGGGGGGCATGTCAGGTTAATTTCATAAATCACTGGTAGGAGAAGTGAGGGAAAATTGACTAGTTGGTTATTCCAGAATGTTTGTAAGGAGAGATTACTGATCAGAAGACAAGTAAGTTTCTCGTGTGTAAAAATCTACACCTGACACCACATGAGTCACTTAGTGAAGAGCACATCATGATAGAGACAGGGCTGGTGAGCTACAGGAAGTTTGTTCTGGCCAAGAAGCCTATTGAATGTTGGTATATTAATCTTTAAATGCTAAAGGCAAGTACTGGCATCCTGGATAGGAGAGGGGGACTATTTAAGCAGGCATTCACACAAGACTAAGGTGAAGATTAGCCCAGACTGTCAAATTTATTCTTTCCTTCTCTCCTAGGATGTGAGGAATGGGCAACCTCAAGGAAGGCAAATTCCACAGCCTTGGGTGGAGATTTTTACAACATGCAATCACTGATTATCTATAACCTGGACTTGGAGACAATGTCTCAGGAGTATAACTCTGTACTATTTTCATGTGAATGACAGAGAGTGCTGTCTAGAGAAACAAGAAGCCAGAGCAGCTAAATGAAAACTCATAGTTTTCTTTTAAAAATGAAATATTTAGTTCAAAAGCAGATATTTTCAGCAGTCATGTGGGCTATTCAAGTTCATCATACTCACAGCTGTGCAGGTGGGCAACAAAGTGTGTTGTTGCTGTATTTTGCTGCACTGGATTTATAATGGCACACCCTGAAATCATACAAAGCTTTCTTGTCCTCAGCCCTGAACATGCCCAACTAACGGTGTTAATTTTCCACGTAGCTACCAAAATGAAAGGGTAAACCATGAGAGTAACCAAACCCCTTGATGAGCTGGGTGTTACAACCTGGTTAACCACAACAGCATGTCCAAGGTGAGACAAGCATGTAAAAGTGGAATGAGCTACATGACAGGAGATTACATATGCATAAGCCACAGGTGACCACATGTAATTTGTGTTGCATAGAGGTAAGCCACAATAAGGAAGAGGAGTGGAACAATACAGGCCTAGGGAACAGCACTGTAGTCGTGAAGAGGTACCGAAGTGTGGCATGACCTTGAATCTTGCCAGGAGCCACTCACTATTGTCAGCCTCTCAGACCCAGTTTTAGAATGAAACCTATATCCTGTCTGTGACCAACTTCTGGACAAGCAATCCTGTCTCTCAAGTGCATATAAATTCAGAGCAAAAAAAATTACTTGGAAGTATATAAGCTAAAATATAAATCCTGCTTCATACTTTAAACATACAGTGACTTTCTGAAAGACTTGGTTTTGTGTTCAGAGGAAGGCTTCCTGGTGCATTAATATTTTTTACTAGACACAGAAAATTTGAGTTCCAAATGTGACATTTTCAGAACATTTTGAACATATGGAAAACAGGCTATAAAGGAACTTCTCCGTAGCTTAATCATACCCAGTACTTCTGTGAATACTCTAAATACAGAGATGCATGCTCTCAAGTCTCAAGGTAAGACTATTAATCTTTTTGTTAATTGATTAATGAAGTAATATATTTTGCAGCACAATATGTACTACTGTGAGCAAGTGGCAAAGCAGGACACCATGGAGCTCTTCAGTAAATGAGGTAGAGAAAGTCAAAAGAAGGTGTGACTGCCAGCAGCAGGAGGTCAGTCTAGGCCAAGAGCAGCTTGATTTGACTGCTGCTCTTGGATGAGGATGAGGAAAAGCAAGCCTCATCACAGGAATGGTACTGATTGATAAGACAAAACCAAATCAAAGCAAGTTTTGCCTTTTTCATTATCCTCCTAGCCCTCAACATTACCATTTTTATCATAATCCCTCCCTGTCTTCCTTCTGCTTCTTGCTGAGCCAAAGAAAGGAAAATATGTTTGGAAGTAGGAGGAGCTGGAGCAGCAGACAGATGTGTAAAGGGCATGAAGATTGGTCTATTAGACTTCACAGTATGTGAAGGAAAGTAATACATGAGCTTCTCCAAAGAGGCAAAATTAACTTACAGCCCAAAAGTAGAAATTTTTCAGTATATAATGTAATTTGCATATCTGCATCTTAGTGTCTGTATAGACATATATTAGAGAAAAAAAAAAAAAAAAACCAAAAAAAACAAGTAAGCAGTGCTTTTCCATTGGAATGTTATTTGGTGTTTTCTTCTGCACCAGTGAGAGGAGTTTGTTTTTTTCCTTTACTGTTTTACTTTCCTTCACTGAACCACATCCTCTCTTGTTTTCCATTAAATTTTGACAGATTAAGTTCTCTGAGAAAAGGTGAATTTCTTTGTTTCTGGAATGCATTGTGCCTATAACTCTCATGGTCTCAGTTCAGGAGTAAGTTTTGTTTAAATGTCTTTTTTCATTTAAAAAAGTAAGCATTCATTGCTACTTCCTTTTTAAGATTGAGCTGTGATAGTGGAATGGAAAATATTAGAAATAGGCCTTTTCCAGCACCAGCAAAGCTGCAGCTTGTCCCAACAGTGCTCCTTGAAGGCAGGATAAAGATTAAACCCAAACCACACCAAAAGGACCCAGCACCATCCTTAATGCAGTAGTGCCCACACAGAGAGGTCTGTCCTACCTAAATTGCAGTTCAGACCAGGGTGATCCCAGCCCCATCCCTGGCAGCTGCCCCAGGGCCTAGGGCAGGCTACTACCCCTGTGGCAAGGACCACAGTGGTGGCCACTCTCTTTCAGCCTAGGGGTGTCAAGGCAACTGCAGTGGGAAAGGTCCCATGGCAGCCCTTGTGGGGCGACACTACTATGCTGCCTCCTCTCACCCCACACCTACTACCGACACTGGGCAGGTAGAGGTGCCACAGCGGGAGGGGAGGTGGCTGCAGAACAGCAAGACAGGGAAGACATGACACTCTTGGGCTCCTTTCCTTCCTCTGCCAGGAGTACTTGCTCAACATCTCTTTTTCCTTTCCTTTTCTACTTTTTTCTTTTTTCTTTTTATGTTTGTTTTAATTTTATTGTATTTCCTACAATGTGGGAGGGAGCTGCAGCCAAAAATAATGTTGCCAAGCCAAGGGGATTGGCACACACTGCTTGGAGTCTGCAGCAAGAGCAGAGGCTTTAAATAGACTGAGCTCTGACTACACACTGCTCCTGGAGGGCTGGCAGTCTAACCCCAGTGAGCAGAGATCAGCAGCTGAGGGTGCAGGATAAGCTGCACCTATCTGTCCCTGTGCCTGTGTGGTGTTTTACTTCCATCTGTGGTCAGCCCCCTCACCACCCCTAGCTCCCTGCTGACTCCAGGGCAGACTGCAAGGCTGCAAAGGCTGGCAGTGCAATCCATCCCCTGGAAATAACTCTACAGTTACTAGAAATCTGTCATCAGTAAAGCTGTGGTGGTCTGGTGGCAGCACATGTGCATGGTGGGGAAGCCTCCACTCCAAGTGTTACACGTGTGAAATGCCAAATGTGGTGAGAGCTAGCCCAGTGAGAAGGTATTGGGATGGCTTCACAACCCTGCTGCCGCAAAAGCTGTGCAGTATTGTTGTCTCATTACACATTGACCACTGGTGAATTTTTCGAGATAAAGCAGATACACAATTTCTATTTCATCATCCTTTCCCTGAACCAAAAGTAATGCTTGTGAACAACTCTCACCACTGCTAATTAAACAAAAACCTCAAAGCCTGGCAAGCCCGGTCAACTCTCTCCCTTGGATGACAGTGCCATGGGGGCAGGGTGACGAGCTTGTGTAGCAGTGCATGATAAAGCTGCCTCCTGCCCCTGTCGAAGACGTAGGAGGGCCCGGAAAAGAGTTTCTCTGAAGTTTTTCTGAAGTCTACAGAGTTCTTCGGTGTTCGGTGTTCGGAGTATGTGTTTTTGCTTAGCGCTTGACGTGCAAAGAAAGCACGAAGTTCTGCGAAGATGCAGTGCTGAAGGCTGAAGCGTCTGTTTGCTCCTTTGAATTTTCTCCTGCCTCTCAGCCCTTATTTCCTCAGCACCCCGTACTTCTGTCTCACAGCAGCTGCCGATGACTTAGTTCTTCCGGGGGGAGAGGCCCCCTGCACCCTGCCCTCGCTCCCTCCCCTCCGGGGGGCGCTGGGGCTGGGGCCGCCCGTCCTGGGGAGCTTGGGGGGAGGCGGGCGGCCGCTCCGGGCAGCATCTTTCCGCACTCTTTTGCGGCCTCTCGCTGCTTCCGCTTCTCACTCTCGCTGCAGGGCAGCTTGGCGTGTCCTTCCCTGCGCTTTCAAAGGCTGCCTGCGCAACTGAAGTCATTTTCTCCGCTTGCTGGTTTCATTCCCTAACTTCGGACCTGCTTACTCCTCACAACCTCAATCTCCCAAATAGACGAACGCCAAAACTGAGGCGGTTTCTCCATTTCACCCGGTATATGCACATTTCCTTGACTCTTTCTGTCGTTGTTATTCTGAACTGGTATTTCTCCCTCCTGAGAAAGAGCGATATTTTCAGTCCAACACCAATTTCTTGCGTAGGATAAAGAGGACAGCAGTTAAGGTGAATAAATACTTAGGATACAGCGGACATATGTTGGTCATTTCCTCTCTGGCATCCCAGTGTTACTTTTACTGCGACGGCAGCACCACTTAGGCGTGTTCCAAGGCAGGATACTCTTTCTAAGAGAGTATCGCCTAAGACGACACAGAGCAGGTAGGGGCGCCGCTACCCCTCCTTTAAAAACATGACAATTTTTGTCTCTCTCTCCGACGGATACACAAAACACGGAGGGAACAAGGAAATGTTCAGACTCTTAGGCTTCACTAGATGGAAAAGGAACAAAAAAAAAAAAAAAAAACCAAAAAACAGGAAAACCCAAACAAAACAAAGCCAGAAAAATCACCCTCCACTAGCGGCTTCAGCCACATTAGGAAAGTTTCCTCTCACAATAGCGGCTGCAAAGTTGGCTGATAGGTCGACTGGTATTTGTGGCTAAAATTCACATATTTAAAGCTGAAATAATGAATGCGCCCATCATTCTACCGCCACCGCCCGCTCCCGAAAAAATCCCACCCAAACAAACAGCAGACGGGCTCGGTCCGCCGCCGCGAAGCCCGAGCATAACCAGAGCATCGGCAGCAGCGGAGCGGTGCTTGGCTTTTGTCTCCGTACGCCTTCTTCCTTTCCTTCCAAACTTTTGGACGGTCTCTTCGAGCTGTATTTATAGACCTGGAGCACACGGCTGTATTTTTCCTTGTGCCTCCTTTGGCTTGGGCTTAAGTCACTGGCGGGGAAAATAAAAAAGGAGGCAGGCAGGCAGGCAGGCGGGCTGACAAACGGGAGGACAGAAGGGGGGAAAACTGGAAGTCCCGCAGGCGCGACGCGAAGTGGGGCTGGGGCAGGCGGCCGGAGATGCGGGATTCCCTTGCTTCTAATAGGCGAGAGAGAGGTAAGGGTGAAAGTCCGGCCCCGGCTCCCTGCGTGGGGAAAGGAAAGCCTCTTGCTCCCGGGAAAGGGACAGGCCGGGACTGCCGCCCCATCCTGATGCAGAGGAGCCGAATCAAGAAGAGCTTGTGTTTGTGTCCGGAGGAGGGGAGTAGGCGGCGGGGGAAGGAGAGGGGGGCACACACGACACAAAGTTTGTGTCGTAGAACCAGATGAAAATAAGGTAAGTACGAGGGGAGCGAGGCTGCCTGCACTGCCGGGAAGACTGAAGAGCCGGAGCTCCGACCCGCCTGTTGCGGCGGGCGGTGGCGCCGGAGGCCGGGCGCTGGCGGGGATGCCCGGGCTGGCGGGACGGCATAGCCCAGCCGGGATGCTCGAGGGCTGCGGCCGGAGCCGCGGGGCAGAGCGGCAGCATGCCCCGGGGCAGCGCAGCGCTTCGCGGGGTTCGGGCGCTGCGGAACCACGCCGCTCCGCTGGGCTGCCGCCGGCTCTGTTAATACGTCGTCTCTACAGTGGTTTAAACATTCGAATCAAAAAACAGACCCCAAACCGCTCACGAAAATGGGGAACTAACAGCTATCTGGAAGCACGCTTATTGGAAAAGAGGAAAGCTTTCCCTACTTGCAGAAAAAGTGATTGGGGGATTAAAAACGTGGGTGTCTGGGGTTTTGATGATGTTGTTTTGCTTTTATTTTCTCCTACAGTCTGCAACTAAAGAAGTTCTTTTCCCACACGGTGGATGCTGAAAGTCTCTAACCAAATATCTCAGTAACGTGGATGGTGTGATTATCATGTTGTTAGGCATTCCCTTATTGATATGCACCACACTTAGCGTCTGATCTCCAAAATATACGTCAGAGCAGTTTCTCAGTTTCTGACATGGTTAGAGAGCCTGTCCTGCAGGTAAGTAAAACATGAGGCTGTGGAAGTAGCTTGCTTTCGGGCTGAAAATGAGACTTTCACGTTTGGCTTTGAGTGGCAGAACGGCTGGAGCAGCATTACACTTGGCTGTGCAATTTGGCATTACCATGACCTCGTTCAAACACCGTGTTCTGATGTGCCATGAGGAAGGTACAAAATTATTGAATCTTCTAAAACCCCATCAAATCCCAGAGTCCTGGCTCTGGACTCTAGTTGTTTGGTTTTGTTTGTTTGGGGTTTTTTGTTGTTTTTTTGTTTGTTTGTTTGTTTGGTTGGTTGGTTTTGTTGTTGTTGTTGTTGTTGTTTTTGTTTGTTTTTTTGTTGTTGTTTTTTTTTTTTTTAAAGCACTGACACTTCAGAACTTTCACCCTTCACCTCTCCGGGCAAATTTTTCTGTTTGATTATATTAATAATCTGATTTCTATTTGCCCTTCCAAATGTGAAAATCAACCCCCTTCCAACACTGGGAGGGGCTGTTATTTTTAGCTCGTTCGCTGGAACAAAATGTTCCAACATTCTCTGCTTTGAATCTCACTGCGGTTTGGCTACTCTTTGATATATAAGACTGTTGGTTATCCTTGTCAAAGTACCTGTTATAGGAAATGGCTTCCTCAGCTTGGCAAGTCACTCCGAACTAAGTAGACAGCAGCATTTGCCTAATTAAAGAAACGTTTATAGTATTGCAGGAAAATACCCTAAATATTAAACATTAAAAATTTAAATATTAAAAACCATTAAAAATGGTAAATCTACTGTAGGTGCTACCTTTATGGTGTTATTAATGGCGTGCCCAGCTATGAAAATAAGTAAGCGGTGAATAAAATATCCCTATGTTTTCTTGTCTCCTCTACAGGTATATTTTGTCAGCACTTGCTGAACAGTTTCAGGAAGTTTCCATATGCACTTGATAAACAGCACTAAAAATGTGATTCCGATTCAAATATCACTTAAATAGCCCTGTTCCCCCCTCTTCCCCCTCCTTATCCCTCCCTTCCCAGTTGCAGTTCTGCAGCCACTGTTGCGGTTACAGAGTACTGTAAAGTGCGTTTAAATGTTCTCCAGCCCTGCCCCCTTCTCTCCCGCGTCCTCCGAGGAGTTCCACATGACGTTACTTCTGTGTCCATTTTAAAAACCTGTCTGGGTGTTTAGCTACAAACTGGCCAACCTAAATGCAAATAGTGCTATAAAGGGACATAACAAAGCAGAAGAGAAGGGAATGGAAAGGGAGATATGCACTTGTATCAAATGATGCTTCCTTAAGAGAGAATTACATTGATCTAGACTTTAAAAGATAGTACCCTTGAGGTCATAATGCTGTACACATTTCTATGCACGCACAGGTATAGTCTGAGGTGTAGGAGTTTTTACAGGAGTTTTGAACTTCATGGCTGCAGATTTAGAAAGTTCTTTTATCAGTTGCATCTGGACACCCGCATGCAGTAGCAAAACCACTGTGTTGAATCAAGTGCCTGAACATTGCTATCTTCTTCACAGGATTTTCTGTACCACCAGAGTATAGCCGGGTAGGGTGCCCTCCTTGGCCAGAGGCCAGTGGCTGAACGAAGTCAAGTGAATAAAATAAGTGCAAAGTAGGGTTCTTTGCAAAATCCTTTGCAAAACCCTAGGGTGAAATGCACGTACAGGGAGCACCTAGAAAAGATGAAAATCCCAGTTTTGTAGCTCCAAATCATTACATTCTCGGCAACAGAACCCCATCATTATTCATGAACGATAAGGGCAAAATCCTGCTCATACAGTGATTATTGTTATGACAAGGACCAATAACGTCTTTGTTATAAAAATAGTGTTTGTTATGAAGAAATTGGGTGAGCAGCCATCCAGATAAATATGCCCTGTGCCTAACAAGCCTACTGTCTTCGTGATGTTTTTTTGTGTTGCTCAACCGCTCGTCCTTTTTCAACAGTTGTGCGGGTATTTTTCTTGCAATTATGCACATTGTTTCCCACTTACCCTAATTTCAGCACTAAGGCTCAGAAATTGCACAGCGAAGTAAAAGAAAGCTTATTTTTTCCTGCTTGTGCACACACATAAATTCTATACCGACTATAGCTGTGCAGTAACATCTTCGTGTGATTCTGTGGAGCCCACTCAAATGTTAGAGCTTGTACTTCCTCTCTATTTTTAATTCATCTAGTTGCTTTTTGGTGTTTTTTGGTGGTTTTTTTTTTTTTTTTTTTTTTTAAGAACAGTGATCAATTATTTTTTACAGTGCAACACTGTCGTGGTTCTTCAAGTTAGGCGCCTTTTATTTTTATCTGTATTTACTTCGCTGTTACAACATCCCGCGGGACCGGTGTATTTAAAACAAGAGGACGGGCACACACACAGGGAGCCACGGAGAGCCCCGGGAGCTCAGGGGCGGCGGGGGTCCCGCCGCGGCACGGCCCGAGCAGCAGCGGCAGCTCCGGCACAGACCGCGGGCTGCAGCGGGTACCGGCGCTTCCCAGCGAGGGCAGCGCCTACCTGGGCACCCGGCAGCGCAGCGTTCCTCGCAGAGGCCGCCTCACTGGAACATAAAGCCCCCATAAAGAGGCTAGATACAAAGCAAGGAGCCCACAAACACAGTTTGGGGATGATGGGTAGCGGGGGGACGTGCATCCGGTGTTCACCACGGGAGTCTTCGGGAAGCTTGATTTCAACGCCGCGTTGTATCGCTGCCGATGAGCCGGGTGCGGGTGGCCGGGTTTGGCCAGGGCGACGAGCCCCGCGCAGCTCCTCGCCATCGCCCTCCGCGAGCACCTTTTCGCGCACGCACAACCTCCGCCCTCCGGGAGCACGGGGCAATCCTCCCCTGACCTTACAGACCGCTTCCCGCCGACGCAGGCCGGCGGGATTCCTGCGGTCTCCGCGGCCGACCCGCCAGCGGGTCCGTCCGCCTCCGGTCACGGCGGGCACCTGGCTGTCGCGGGGCAGCAGCGCAGCCCTCCTTCTCATCCACGGACCGTCTCGAGGCTTCCCCGCATTCATTCTTGCACGCCGGCAGAACCAGACCACGCTGCCGAAGCCGGCGGGCGAGCGGCAGCAGTTTCCCGGCGGGGGCCAGCGGCAGAGGGTCCCTCCGCCGGGCCGGGAACGCCGGCCGCACCCGGGGTCTGCGCTGCACCCCTCCTCGCCCCCACCCCAAAACCCATCTGCCTCCCTCCCCCCTCAGCGCCGTGACCGCCGGCGCGGCCTCGGCCGGCACTGCTTTTCGGACGCCCGAGATTCCCATTCCCCTTGGGAGAACAGCCCCCGATCTGGCCAGCGGCCCTCGGTGTCCCGCGGCCGCCGGCAACACCCCCGAGGCTGCTGCCTGGCGGGGCGAAGTCGCCCCCGCGAGCCCCGGGCGCGGCACACGCGCGACAGCGCAGCGCTGCGCGGGCCCCGCGCGCCCCCTTGCGCCGGGCTCCGCGCCGGG